ATGTTTTTAACACTTGTGTCCTTTTTTGTCCAGTAGAGGAAAAAAAAGCACTAATTTTTCACCTAAACTTTAACTTTTTTTGAGTGATATCATTTTTGGTTAGGAAATTTAATTTTACAAAAATTTTCCAGGGTCAAAAATGCACTGTATACAGATCAAAAGTTAATGTTGTTACTAATATTTGGCATATCCAAGGGTGTGATAGCATGTAAAAAGTCTCCAGCCTCTGATCATTTTTTATATTGAAAATCTTTTTTTTTTTTCTCACCAAATCAGTGACATCACCTCTAAAATCGGCATTTAAAGGGTTAAAATCCATTACAATAAAAAAATGATAATAGTTTTGATGAGACTGATATTAATGAAGAGATTTGAGCAAAAAAAAATTGAAAAATTATTTAGCCAAAATATTTTTATAACACCTGAAGTTAGTGGCTAAAAATGTCCATGACAATTTTGAGCAGTACCCAAGGGTTAAGTGATATATTTCCTAGTCGGTCAAATGAAAATTTGACTTGAGATAACCAACTAGCCTAAATCTAGGAAAATGGTAAAAACAGGCCATGAAGTCTGCAGTTAAGCAATGCCAATTAGGTTAGCTGAGTGTGGCTAACCAAGAGCTAGCACCACCCGTCTTTTGCCTTGTATTTATTCATTTTTTTATTTTCAGCTACTGTTTTTTGTGAATGGTGCTTCTTTTACTTTGCATGATTTTTTTCGCTGTCCGTGTCTGCTTTTTTCCATATCTTACAGCTAAGCAGCACCTTTTTAGCTAGCAATGCTTCAGTGTTTATCGCAGCTCACTTTATAAGGGCGTGACATTGCCAGTATCAGAAAACAAAAGCTCTGTTTTTTAGTTCATTTCATTCATGTTTTTGAACATAACATGGCATAGCATGACAGCTGTAAGCAATGTGCAGGACCAAGTTTTTCTACTTTTTAAATTTTGTAGCATCCAAGCTAAGTCTACTTTTAGAGAGCTTTAGTTATAAGTGGTTTGTATGTAGTTTTAAATTTCTGTTTTGTTTCTGTTTTTTATTTTTTATTATATAACTATTAGTCGCCAATGAGTTATTTTTAAGCTAGCTAAGCCGAAACAAAACTGCTGTTACCTGTCACCATTTTTTCCTTTCATTCTTACCTTGTTGCAGCCAAGTGGAACCTCTTTTAAATTTCCGTTAAGGTTGAGGGTGGTCAGTATACATGACAGGACATTGATTCAACATTATTTGTTACCTTGTCTTTTAATACACATCTGACCTTGATAACCTTTGGCTGTTTTTGTTAGGTTTAACTCAGTATTAAAGATCTATTTCATAGTGCATGTGAATGCACAGTACCTGTTCTCCTTTTGAGCTTGCAGCTTAATGTTGATGAAGGTTTATATTACATGGCATGATATTTTTACAAGCAGTAAATGCAACATGGTCTGTGACTCCTTTTTTCCCCCTCCCCTGTAAGCAGCCAAGCAGTGCCCAGCCAAGAAAATTGTGGCAGGGGAGCAGCACACCGACAAACTCACAGATGCTACCGGGTGCAATCACAGTCTCATATCCTGATTGTGCAGTTGGTAGTGTGGACAATGAGGGCGGAGAGAGGGAAATGTGCAAGGCAGCTTTCCATTATGAGATAGTGTGTATTACTGTAATCCAGAGGGCCTCCTGCTCGCTGTGGCGTGTGCCAGACTCCTGGGTGGGCAATCTCAGAGACAGTGGGGAGGCCCAGCTTATTTCTGGGCACATTTGGCATGGCCTATATGGCTGTTATAGGGACTAGAAGTGGAACAGAAGTCATAAAAAGACATTTTGATATTTTAAGGGAAACTTTTTTAAGAGCTGGAGGTAAAATGTGAGCTTGATTTGTTATTTTGCTCTATGCATTGTGTTAATTATAGAAAAAGGGTGCTGTTATTTACGGCATGCTGAGACGTGGAAGTCTTCATAAATCCTGTTATCACCAGAAAATATATATTCCTCAGCAAATCAAGGTCTTGTGTTTCTGTAACTGAGCTTAAATGACACTCACTGAAACCATAAAAGTCATGAAAATCAGGTATTTTTACTTGATTTTTTTTTTTTTCATTGAGTAGTGTGCTATAATAAAAAGAAAACATACAAACACAGGGCTGTAAACTCAGCCAGACTGAAGAGGCCTTTGATACGGTTTGTAATTGGTCCTCAGCTCCTGTCACTTACTTTCTTGTGGTTCACTTGTCAGAGACCTTCACAGTGTGAAAGCCTGCACTGCCCTGAAGACCACTTGTTGGGAGCCCGCTGATCCTCTCGGGATCTGGAATGGCCTCAGGAGGCTCTGAAAGCCTGTCAATGTTCTGCCATGAAGCTTATCCCTGTGCTGATGGCACTGCGCTGGCACTGGAGCGCTGCTCTCCGCTGAGACAGAGAGAGATGGTCGGTGTCCCACTGGAAATGTGTCTCATGCCTGTTAAGGTGTCTGCAGGAATTTTGGCGAGGAGTGTTTTTGCACTGAGAACACACTAACAAACACACAAACACTCATACCATGAGGTGGAGATGCAAATGGAAGTCACCACAAGATTGCATTATTATAAGTAAAGAGGTTCTTATTGTGTTTGAGCATGATACAAAATCATTGCGTCACCTTACCAGATTAGTAGAGCAAATGTTAGACATGCTCTTATCTTGATATTTTCTCTGTCTTACTTTAAGGTTGCTTTCTGGTAGATCACAAGTTTTAGAACCGACTGAAAACAGTCAGAAGAAAGATAAGGAAGTCGAACTATTCACTTGATCAGCAACCTGAAGAGGCATCAGCTCTTATGTTGTTTTTATACATAAATGAATCTTGAACATCAGTTTTAAAGATGTCTGATTTCTATTTTCTACTAACTGACGGTATTACTGTATGCTTACTTTGAGCACAATATCAATATAACTTATGCATAGCTACAGCCCTACCTGCAGTAATGATTGATTGATGATTAATTAATTGATCAATTCACAACCAAAGCAACACCATGAGATCATGGGCATCATCTTTGATCAATATGGTACACTGGTGACACTGTTTGTGTCTGTTTCCATGAGAGTCGAAAAACAGTGATAGCGTACACAGATTTGAGGGCAGCCTGAGGAGTCACTGGACCTAAGCACCTCTGATAGAGAAAGGTGGAGCAGAATCCTGTCTTGATACCGCAGCAGAGCGTACAATTAAGAGAAAAAAAGTGTTGAAATCAGTGAAGGACATTTATGTGTAATCCAGTTCTTTAGAGACTGATTTTCACCCTCTGTTACATAGAGGCTTTGAATCTTGCACCACTGAGTCTCTTGGTGGCCATAGTTACTGAAACAACAATGATGATCGTCCCAAGGTCACAACCTCGCGTGACCTGGGTTCAGGGGGAGGTTGTCTGAGGTTTCCTGGGAATAATGAGTGGGAAATCTTCACTTCCCAGACCTCCCAGTAACCCTACAAAGCATGAGATTTACGAGGACTCCCCTGATTGGCTTTATGACAGGACTTCCAGTCTGGGTTCGACTATTGCTGCCAATTGGGGGTCTTTTACTTTAAACTTCGGATGCTCTTGAAAGTTTTCTGGTAGGAGAGTAAAGCTTAAATACACTGGTAAATATGGAAGAAGAAAATTTTGGGGAATAAGTTGGCAGTATATGTGAGATTGTGATTGTCTAAAGCTTTGTGTCCGTGTCGCTTCCTCATGTTTTGGTACCACTTTGAACTTGTAAACTGAAATATACAGTACTCGCATGAATGAGCAGCTGACTTTCACTCCAATAGACAAAAACACTCTCTCACACACACAGGCATGGACTGGCACTAGTGGAGACATACATGGGTCACCTGGCAGGTCATGCCCCCCCACTGGTCAGCCCTGCTGTAAGGCTGCATTGATTATGTGCTTGTCTGCAAGCCTGCAGTCAAGCATGTGCATTTTAGCATCTGCACGTGCTCTATGTGGGCATACGTTTTTCAAATCACTGTGTGTATGTGTCTAGTAGTATATTTCCACAGTTTTGGCATACCATGTTTCCCAAAGCAAATAGTTGCCAAACTTGGGGCCAAATCTTAGAGAGCACACATTAATGTCACCAAATTAGACTAAAAAAGCTGTCTAAAATCCAGTGGAGCGCGGACTTCTAGTGAAAAAAAAAGTAGGCTTGCAAAAAGGGAGTTTTTTTTAATTTTTCTTGTACAACATCTTTAGCCATCAGACTGTGCGGTACCCAAGATCAAGAGGCAACAAGGTAGACTGATGTGTGGTATCTAAAGTTGTACTGTAACAAAAAGTAAAAAAAAAAACAGCACTGTGATCAGGGGACAGCTGGTTGACCCCTGACATGCACATATGATCATCACCGGTGTGTGAGAAAATAATGAGCCAGTACTTTGTGTTTTTTAACCAAAACTTGACATCCTAAAACAAAGAAAAGCCTTAACAGCCAACCATTTTTATGCTACAGTGCACCTAATTAACAGCCTTGTCATGCCTTGAATACAAATTAAGAACAAGTCTGCTCAAAAGTTGCAACATGGGCTGCAATGTAAGCTTTGTTTTGTTTTGCACAGGCATGTCAGCTCATTGTCCTTAGCTTGTGCAAGTCAAAAAGAATTGTTTGAAGCAAAAAAATAAGGAGAAACCACATTTACTAAGGAAATCCTTAATCTCTAAAAGACCAAGGTCAGAAAGGTGTCGGACACACCAGTGTTGGTTAAAAATAAATAATAATAAATAAACAAAAACAGTACCTGAGATGGCCAAAGGTCAGAGACACACCTGATAAACTAAAGCAGCAAATTCACAGTTCAGGATTTGTGTAACTTCCACCTACTTCTTTACATGTCAGTTTCACAGTCAGTTTAGTTCTAAATGTAATGAGAGTTTTTTGTGTGTATTATAAACAGCTTTCAAATCTCATCTTAACATTTTTTATACATCTTATCTATCTTTAAACAGCCCAATAGTGGTATAGAGTCCACAAGTGCCCCACAAGCGCCTTAAAAGAATACAGTCTGCTAATAGCTGAGAGGAGACACCCTTAGTGCAACCATGAAATATGTGCAAGGACCCATGACCACTGAGATAATAGTCTCTGACCAGACTGCAGACTCTCCCCGTCCACTCGCTCCTCCACTCCACTCCCACCCAGGTTTGGAGAGGCTCATGTTTGGGACAGATGGTAAGATGAGGCCCCTGGATCTCCTGGCAGAGCAAAGAGAAATATAATGCTGCATGGAGGACATGAAAATGGTCATCTAAAAAAAGTAGCAGAGGAGCTTTTTTTTTTTTAGGATTGTAAAAGCATCATCGGGCAGATTAGTTTGTTGACAGATATTTTCTATCAGTTTGACACATGTTGGTTGTGAAAATTTAAAATGAACATGTAAAGGGTTACTCTTATTTAACAATACCAGGTCAAAAATAACAAGTAAAAGTATTTTAGAGGGTTAAAAATGAAAAAAAAGGATCATTCCTATTACAGCTGTCATAAAAAAAAAATATATTTATCAGGATATTGATCTGTTGGATTTTCATCCAAAGTTAGATGTTTCAATATGTTGATTATTGGGGACTGACTAACGGTTAAAACCCACAGGATTTGGAACGATGAAATACGCAAGCATTATAATCAACGTGTGTGATTCCACACTATCCGTCCGCCATCCGGGTTCGCTGCAGATCGGATACGCAAGACTTCTGTTTCAGCCGGAAATCCCAGCAGGGTGCATCAATTCAGTGTAGCGCAGCACGAGCAGCAGTGGAAATTGTATGCAGCTACAGAGTAAAATTTCCGGTTAATTTTTAACATAAAATGAAGTCAATACATTGAACTGTTCTTCCCTTGATAATAGTAGAGGCCAGGGTTTAGGGATGTGGGTGTTTATATACACCGCCGTTTATATACACCTATCCGCGGATCTCATTCAATGTCTCACGGGGAAACACGCAAGATCTTGTGAGATCTCGCCTAGTCTCACAGGAAATATCAGTAATCTCCCGACTGCTTCTCCTCCAATGGCGGCAGCAGATCGGGTCCGATGGGCGATGTTTGCTAGCGTATCTGAGCCGCCTGCCGGTCTGAAACGGAGCTGAGCCGCTCCGGATCCAGTGGGATTCCCGGGTAACTTCAAAAGAAAGCCTCCAGTGGCCAAGAGGGGAACTGCAGTTTTTGGCAGTTCTGAGTTGATTAAATTTTTCAGTAAAGAAAGTTTCAGCTGAAAATGCACATTTGCACAAAATCCCTTTTAAAGGGTCTGTCTGTCTTTTGAAAACAAAAGTGTTCCTCTGTTCACAGTTTGGTCTTTTTTAAGTACAAGAGACAAAACATCTTTTTGACCATGCAGGTTGAGAGTAGAGGAACTGAATACTCACTGCAGTAGGAGGTAGCTGCTATTTCCTAGCAGGGGAGTTCTGTGTGTAGAAGCTTTTTGTGTTCATGTGTCGAACCACATCCAGGGCAGCAGAGAAGAGAAGACGGGGGCTGCTCTAATTAAAGCCAAAAGAAGAGTGTCATCTGCTGTGAACCTCTCGACCAGGGGCCACTGCGAATCAATGGACAGCTAGCACTGTCATCATCATCAACAGCTCCCGATCAGAGCAATTGGAGGGGAACAAAAAGGAATGAGAAAGAGTCTAGCAGGAAGCTTCTACCACCTGTGCAGAGCAGGAGAAAGCAGGAGAGAGGGAGACGAACACAGAGACAAACAGACGGAGAGAGAGGGAGATTATGATGGTGTGGTTCAGATGTGGAAGATTTATCGTTTCTTCGTTTAGGTGGAGCAATTTTGTCATCATCACCTAGGACATCTATTTTGATAAACAAAGATACAATTGTATGAAGATTGGCTGTGAGCAGAATGATCTAATAACCCTTCAAAGAAATATGGATTTTTTCGGCTCAAACAGCTTCATACAGAGAGTGCCAATGGTGAATGTTCCTGGCAACATAGAAAGTGTTCCCTAAGAGCAGATTGAGACTATTGAACCCTGTAAGCGGTATCAGAGCTCTCCTGTATACGTAAACTCTGCCTTTCCGCCAGCAAGCCAGGGCAGCGCTGGATCAGATTCTTACCCAAACATGAGCACATCAACGGCATCGTCTCATGGCATTAGCATTCCAAATGTTTTTCAAGACGAATGTGAATGCGACTATTTTTGGTCTCATAACCCGCCCTCTCAGATAACTCTCTTTGAATCAAATGAGTTCTGACAAGGGGAATCTGCATACAAAAACACAGCGGGTTTGGAGGCTGTAAGCGACTGGTCCACTAGTGAGGGCCTCTGAAGCTCTCTCTGAATCTCTTCATTCACTGCCTGCTCCTTGTGGACTCGTGGTTCTTTAAATGGCCGCTTCTGTTTATCCTCTTTTCAGATTGGAGGTTCGAGAGGCAGCGAGTCCAACAGCCACATATTAAATCCTCTGTGTTACTGCCTGGCACTTGTGCGTTCTTTCACTACTTAAACACATAAAGTAGAAGATGCTTTTGAAAAGTAGCAATAGCAGAAGTTAAAAGGCAGTAATCTAATATATCTTATAAGTGGTTTAAATTGTATTTGTGGTGTGATCAGCTTTGTATAGGCTTTTAATAGTTTCGAAAAGGGGTGCCGCAATAATAAAATCGGGGTTCTGTTCAACATAGAAGCCCCAACCCCACCCCCAACCTCATGGATCTACAGAGATCACCATCCTAAAACAGAAATCTGTTATAATTATGAGTTAAAAGTAACTTTTTAAGAAAATTATGAAGTAAATGTGTAGTTACTTTATTTAAGCTCATACTTTTGAAGAGCAATGTGAGTAACTTTTATGTTGTGTTAGTTCTGGTGACTTCTTTGAATGAAAATTTGAGTTTTTTTAAGGATAAAGATCATATTTTCCATGAGCACCATCTCTGCCTTGTCATAAAGATGTGACACTTGCAAACATTTGCTTTTGGTTTATTTGCACGCTATCAAAGGAAAAAGTTTTTGGCGGAAAGCAGATAAATAGAAAAGAAGTCTTGTTATGATACTTTTTTGGTCTAAGACATGATGCATAGTGATGAGGTGATATATTGATTTGTAGCTGAGTGGAAATATTAAAAACTTTACCAGCTTTGATTTATCTCTGTTAGTTGAAAAACTTGACAAGTCGTACTGGTTTATTGTTACTCAGCACTGTTTTCATAATTCTGTTTTTCACTGAAAATGTAACCTGGACACAGGGACTGAAAATCAATATAAATATTTAACCAAACTTGTTTCTGATAATCTATTTTTGCTCAGTAGGTTAGTAAAGTAGCATCAGCAGTAGTGGTTAAAGACTCCTCACTGTGCCTTTAAGACCTATTATGATAAACATGAATTTTGGATACAGTGTGTTCATCATGGCTGCAGTCTGCACAAATTTGTTAACCAGCTTTTTGTCACCCTTCTACTTGCAACATATTGCATAATTATAACCCAACACAGAGAATATGTATGACATAATGAAATGGGAAATTTATGTAAAAGGAAATGCTCTCCCATATGGTTATTATTCAGATCCTTGTTGTTTAGAGACCTGCTTCAAATGCACTCTCTGTTGCTACAGCTGTCTCTGTGGGGATCTCCTAAAATGAGATCAAAGATGCTTCATCCCTCTGTAAGCTCTCCATAGTTTTTGTAGCTAGATTAATTTGTGTATTTATACCAGCTTTTTTTTTTTTTGCATGTTTTTCTTTCCTTTTTTCTCCATTGTTTGGAAGCAAGATTTCACTTCTAAAAATCACTAGGAAATTTTGAAAGTCTTCAACTATTGCAACAGTACATTTACCTCATTTAGAGATGTTATCAAACCCTCAAGAAACTTTTTCACCATGTTTTAGGGGTTGTCAGAAAGAACCTGTTCATCAGGATGTAACTGAGATCAGAGATTAATGTTATTTTTTATTTTTATCCAATGCGTTTTCACCTTCCTTTTGGCACACTGTAGCGTAGCCTCAGTGGTGTCTCTCTGCTCTTGCTGGTGCCATGGTGACACTTGGAGCTATTGCCTAGTTCGGCCTTGAGCTAAGTATACAGGTGCAGCTGCTCAGACTGATGTCAGCAGGCAACCACATCACAAAAATTGGCAGAGCACCTTTTTGAAATGCGGGGATTGTCACAGACATGTGGTACAGATCTAAGGGATGTCCTCGAGTTGGCATGTTGTGACCAGTCATGCCCAAATGTTGTGGGGAACAATGCTGTCACACAGATTGAATCTAACAGAGACAGACTGGATCTCCTTAAATAGTGTTGCATGAACCAGGAATCACTGGACATAAGTGATCCCTGAAATGATCTTGGAATAACTGCACACCATATTGACACTAACCAGACAGGTTTACATGGACATCTTTTTGATTTCTAAGTGTGTAATAGTTTTAACCTTTAAAACATAATAACAACAAGCAAAATAAACACTCTAAAGTTCACATTGATGCAGCAGTGCTGTATTTCTTTGAATAATTGGCTGAAAAGTTGAGATCAACAGATACATTACTTTGTATTCAGTTGATATCCAAATCAGGATACTGGTAAGAGTTGGTTTTAAAATGCAAAATAATGAAATTTTAAACAAGTGTTTTCACCGTCATTTATTAATGATTAAAGTTTTGTTTAATCATAGTTTAAAATTTTTTATTGTTTTACAGCCCTAACTTTTTTTAAACTGTGATCAAGCAAAGAAGAAAAAAGCAACCGTTCCAAATGCAAGTGCAAACATAAAAAGAAAATACGGCAAATTTGACAAGAAAAAGAAAAACAAATTTTTACATGTCAGTCAGAGATCAAAAGTCTTCAACCAATTTGAACCACTTGAATGCCGAGAAAACCGTGAGCATGACTTCCTGTGACTGGAACACAACCTCAGCGTCTCCATTTGCAGGCAGAGTTATATATCATATCTGCTCATGGATCCTGATTTCATGTTTTTCACTCACCTGTACAAAAGAGCATATTAGCAAAGCTCCTGTAATGTAAGTGAAACTGAGCTCAGTCTTTTTGAAATTTATAGTGTCTAATGTAAGCCACAAAATGTTTTATTCATCTAGCACAGACAAAGTCCAGATTATCATATTATAAAAGCCGCTCTGTCTGAAGTCATTTGTTGTCCGCGGCTTAAATATGCAGACAAATCCCCCAACATGCTTTGTTTCATTCTGCAGAAACCTTACATTAAGAGACGGTGCTGCTGTTGGCACTCCTCATCATCCCGTGTGGTGCTGGTGGGCATATAGAGCAGATTTTCAAAGCGGTGCCATCTCCATATGTTCACCACGATAATCTTTTATCCACCATCCCTGACTCTGGTTCATTCCTGTTCCTCGCCTGTGGCAACAATTTTATTTCTGCATCAATTAGCACAGTGATTAATACAACAAGCAAACAGTTTCTGAGGTAATGGCACACAATTAACATCGCTCCCCATCATAAAGGGTATGCTAAACACTCACACACACTTTCTCTGCCTGGAAAATAAAGAGACGTGTTTAGTCTCTAATTCATCTGCTCTGAAGAGGAAGTGGCTTTGGCATTGTGTATGCCATCACCACATTAATCTAATTATAGATAGCTGAAAATGAGTCTTGCAAATCAGGAGTGTGTTTGTGTGTGAGACACCACTTCCCCCCACCCAGCGCACACACAAACACACAAATTGCCCTCTTAATAGGAGGGTGAATGCCTTTGCTTTTCAATGCCACAACACAAGTGCCAACCCACTCTTCAAATGCCAACATGGCCACTGAAAAGGCACCATTCACCCGCTTTGTATCCAAACTTGTTACCGACTCACTTTTACCACCCTGCCCCCGTCTCTTTTTCTCTTTTCCTGTTTTCTAATTACAAGCCTATTGGCAGAGGGAGGGTGTGCATGGGTAAATAGAGCTGTAGGGGCCTGTCATGTGTGTAGTAGTGGAGAGAAGGTCCTCGCAGCGCTGAGGGATGAGATGATTTGTTGTGATTGACAGCTACCTTGAGACTGGCCTGATGGAGTTGTCAAAGCTGTATGCTAACAGCCTGTTTCCTTACCACTGCAGATGTACTCTGCTCCGCTGTACTGCACACACACACACACACACACACACACACACACACACACACACACATGTACAGCGTTTTTGAGGCACATCATGGGAACTCAAATATTTATTAGGACAATGCTTTATAGATGCAATATGAGACAAGGCTGTCAGATTTCAAGTGGAATCTTGCTTTCGGGGTTATTCTAGTATAAACAAACATTTTGTACCGACAGCTTCACACTGCCACCTCTTCCATATCACAGCCTTGTTTTTTCTGCAAAGCAAAGACAGAGCTGTATTTGAGGGTGCCGTCTTGGGCTAACACCGGGTGTGTGAATACAATGGCAATCCTACATCTGGGAACTCAGTGGGAAAACTATCCCATTTCTCACTTGTGCTGTTAGGAGAGGGTGTTCATTTTTACAAGGTGGATAGTGTTACTACAAAATGAAGTTGTGCAAAATTCCCTGTGAAAATCTGGTTAGGAACGTTAGCTCTGATTTTGACTGGTACTATTCATCACATGGGTCCTCTGGGAATTAGCAGAGCAAGTTTGTTTACAGTGGGATGAATCTCTTCCCACCTTTAGAGGAGGAGTGTTAGAAAGCTGTCAGCAAGGGGGAT